GATTTTTGAAATTTTCAGGAATTTTTGCGGTTTTTGCAATTTTCAGGAATTTTCGCGATTTCTGCAATTTTCAGGAATTTTTGCGATTTTTGCAATTTTCAGGAATTTTTGCGATTTTTGCAATTTTCAGGAATTTTTGCGATTTTTTCAATTTCCAGGAATTTTTGCGATTCTTGCAATTTTCAGGAATTTTTGCGATTTTTGCAATTTTCAGGAATTTTTGCGATTTTTGCAATTTTCAGGAATTTTTGCGATTTTTGCAATTTTCAGGAATTTTTGCGATTTTTGCAATTTTCAGGAATTTTTGCGATTTTTGCAATTTTCAGGAATTTTTGCGATTTTTGCAATTTTCAGGAATTTTTGCGATTTTTGAAATTTTCAGGAATTTTTGAGGTTTTTGCAATTCTAGGGAATTTTTGCGATTTTTGCAATTTTCAGGAATTTTTGCGATTTTTGCAATTTTCAGGAATTTTTGCGATTTTTGCAATTTTCAGGAATTTTTGCGATTTTTTCAATTTCCAGGAATTTTTGCGATTCTTGCAATTTTCAGGAATTTTTGCGATTTTTGCAATTTTCAGGAATTTTTGCGATTTTTGCAATTTTCAGGAATTTTTGCGATTTTTGCAATTTTCAGGAATTTTTGCGATTTCTGCAATTTTCAGGAATTTTTGCGATTTTTGCAATTTTCAGGAATTTTTGCGATTTTTGCAATTTTCAGGAATTTTTGCGATTTTTGCAATTTTCAGGAATTTTTGCGATTTCTGCAATTTTCAGGAATTTTTGCGATTTTTGCAATTTTCAGGAATTTTTGCGATTTTTGCAATTTTCAGGAATTTTTGCGATTTTTGCAATTTTCAGGAATTTTTGTGATTTTTGCAATTTTCAGGAATTTTTGCGATTTTTGCAATTTTCAGGAATTTTTGCGATTTTTGCAATTTTCAGGAATTTTTGCGATTTTTGCGATTTTCAGGAATTTTTGCGATTTTTGCCATTTTCAGTAATTTTTGCGATTTTTGCAATTTTCAGGAATTTTTGCGATTTTGCAATTTTCAGGAATTTTTGCGATTTTTGCAATTTTCAGGAATTTTTGCGATTTTTGCAATTTTCAGGAATTTTTGCGATTTTTGCAATTTTCAGGAATTTTCGAGATTTTTGCAATTTTCAGGAATTTTTGCGATTTTTGCAATTTTCAGGAATTTTTGCGATTTTTGCAATTTTCAGGAATTTTTGCGATTTTTGTAATTTTCAGGAATTTTTGCGATTTTTGCAATTTTCAGGAATTTTTGCGATTTTTGCGATTTTCAGGAATTTTTGCGATTTTTGCCATTTTCAGGAATTTTCGAGATTTTTGCAATTTTCAGGAATTTTTGCGATTTTTGCAATTTTCAGGAATTTTTGCGATTTTTGCAATTTTCAGGAATTTTTGCGATTTTTGCAATTTTCAGGAATTTTTGCGATTTTTGCAATTTTCAGGAATTTTTGCGATTTTTGCAATTTTCAGGAATTTTTGCGATTTTTGAAATTTTCAGGAATTTTTGCGGTTTTTGCAATTTTCAGGGAATTTTTGCGATTTCTGCAATTTTCAGGAATTTTTGCGATTTCTGCAATTTTCAGGAATTTTTGAGGTTTTTGCAATTTTAGGGAATTTTTGCGATTTTTGCAATTTTCAGGAATTTTTGCGATTTTTGCAATTTTCAGGAATTTTTGCGATTTTTGCAATTTTCAGGAATTTTTGCGATTTTTTCAATTTCCAGGAATTTTTGCGATTCTTGCAATTTTCAGGAATTTTTGCGATTTTTGCAATTTTCAGGAATTTTTGCGATTTTTGCAATTTTCAGGAATTTTTGCGATTTTTGCAATTTTCAGGAATTTTTGCGATTTCTGCAATTTTCAGGAATTTTTGCGATTTTTGCAATTTTCAGGAATTTTTGCGATTTTTGCAATTTTCAGGAATTTTTGCGATTTTTGCAATTTTCAGTCATTCTTGCGATTTTAGCAATTTTCAGTCATTTTGCGATTTTTGCAATTTTCAGGAATTTTTGCGATTTTCGAAATTTTCAGGAATTTTTGCGATTTTCGCAATTTTCAGGAATTTTTGCGATTTTTGCAATTTTCAGGAATTTTCGCGATTTTTGCAATTTTCAGGAATTTTTGCGATTTTTGCAATTTTCAGGAATTTTTGCGATTTTTGCAATTTTCAGGCATTTTTGTGATTTTTGCAATTTTCAGGAATTTTTGCGATTTTTGCAATTTTCAGGAATTTTTGCGATTTTTGTAATTTTCAGGAATTTTTGCGATTTTCGCAATTTTCAGGAATTTTTGCGATTTTTGCAATTTTCAGGAATTTTTGCGATCTTTGCAATTTTCAGGAATTTTGCGATTTTTGCAATTTTCAGGAATTTTTGCGATTTCTGCAATTTTCAGGAATTTCTGCGATTTTTGCAATTTTCAGGAATTTTTGCGATTTTTGCAATTTTCAGGAATTTGTGCGATTTTTGCAATTTTCAGGAATTTTTGCGATTTTTGCAATTTTCAGGAATTTTTGCGATTTTTGCAATTTTCAGGATTTTTGCGATTTTTTGCAATTTTCAGGAATTTTTGCGATTTTTGCAATTTTCAGGAATTTTTGCGATTTTTGAAATTTTCAGGAATTTTTGCGGTTTTTGCAATTTTCAGGAATTTTTGCGATTTCTGCAATTTTCAGGAATTTTTGCGATTTCTGCAATTTTCAGGAATTTTTGAGGTTTTTGTAATTTTAGGGAATTTTTGCGATTTTTGCAATTTTCAGGAATTTTTGCGATTTTTGCAATTTTCAGGAATTTTTGCGATTTTTTCAATTTCCAGGAATTTTTGCGATTCTTGCAATTTTCAGGAATTTTTGCGATTTTTGCAATTTTCAGGAATTTTTGCGATTTTTGCAATTTTCAGGAATTTTTGCGATTTTTGCAATTTTCAGGAATTTTTGCGATTTCTGCAATTTTCAGGAATTTTTGCGATTTTTGCAATTTTCAGGAATTTTTGCGATTTTTGCAATTTTCAGGAATTTTTGCGATTTTTGCAATTTTCAGGAATTTTTGCGATTTCTGCAATTTTCAGGAATTTTTGCGATTTTTGCAATTTTCAGGAATTTTTGCGATTTTTGCAATTTTCAGGAATTTTGCGATTTTTGCAATTTTCAGGAATTTTTGCGATTTTTGCAATTTTCAGGAATTTTTGCGATTTTTGCAATTTTCAGGCATTTTTGTGATTTTTTGCAATTTTCAGGAATTTTTGCGATTTTTGCAATTTTCAGGAATTTTTGCGATTTTTGCAATTTTCAGGAATTTTTGCGATTTTTGCGATTTTCAGGAATTTTTGCGATTTTTGCCATTTTCAGTAATTTTTGCGATTTTTGCAATTTTCAGGAATTTTTGCGATTTTTGCAATTTTCAGGAATTTTTGCGATTTTTGCAATTTTCAGGAATTTTTGCGATTTTTGCAATTTTCAGGAATTTTTGAGATTTTTGCAATTTTCAGGAATTTTTGCGATTTTTGCAATTTTCAGGAATTTTTGCGATTTTTGCAATTTTCAGGAATTTTTGCGATTTTTGCAATTTTCAGGAATTTTTGCGATTTTCGAAATTTTCAGGAATTTTTGGGATTTTCGCAATTTTCAGGAATTTTTGCGATTTTTGCAATTTTCAGGAATTTTCGCGATTTTTGCAATTTTCAGGAATTTTTGCGATTTTTGCAATTTTTCAGGAATTTTTGCGATTTTTGCAATTTTCAGGCATTTTTGTGATTTTTGCAATTTTCAGGAATTTTTACGATTTTTGCAATTTTCAGGAATTTTTGCGATTTTTGTAATTTTCAGGAATTTTTGCGATTTTCGCAATTTTCAGGAATTTTTGCGATTTTTGCAATTTTCAGGAATTTTTGCGATTTTTGCAATTTTCAGGAATTTTTGCGTTTTTTGAGATTTTTGCAATTTTCAGGAATTTTTGCGATTTTTGCAATTTTCAGGAATTTTTGCGATTTTTGCAATTTTCAGGCATTTTTGTGATTTTTGCAATTTTCAGGAATTTTTGCGATTTTTGCAATTTTCAGGGATTTTTGCAATTTTCAGGAATTTTTGCGATTTTTGCAATTTTCAGGAATATTTGCGATTTTTGCAATTTTCAGGAATTTTTGCGATTTTTGCAATTTTCAGGAATTTCTGCAATTTTTGCAATTTTCAGGAATTTTAGCGATTTTTGCAATTTTTACAATTTTCAGGAATTTTTGCGATTTTGACAAAAAATCAGTATCACATAAAAAATTGGAATGTTGAAGAATGGCATAGTTCACATTAACTGCAACGTTTCATTCAATTTGTAGCCAATTTTTTTAATTCACTCTGAATGCCTTTGCTTCCCATATCAAATGTGATTTGGTCAACTTCAATCGTTAAATACTTAATGATCGCCATAATAAATTTCCTGGACTAAAATATTACTGCAGATAACAGAGAACACAACACACAACTGAAGATACAGATAATAATAGGGATCTCTGAAAATTCGAAAATGAAGGTGACGCTAGGAAGTTAGGTTGACCATGTAACTAGTTCGTCTTCTTCTTCTCTACTTGTATTTCTGAGAACTCTAGGCATTATGGTGCTCCAGTGCCACAAAAGAATTTAGGTTTAAATAAAATCTCTATCATTATTAGTAAGATATTAAGAATACTAGGATATTTTCATTGTTGGTTCTGAAGCATCTGACAAGTATATGAATATTCAATAAGTGATCATTAGGGACCAGGTCGAACCATTTTCTACTATTCATACTATTTATACAGGGAATGATCAATATGAAATAGGTTTGTGTCGTAAATTCGACTAGTGTGCACACAACCCCATTCATAGGTACATTCCAGTAAATTCTTGAAATTTATGAATTTCGTATCCTATATTTCATGGAAACTTTAAGTGAAATTCAATTTCGTAACTGAAAGTGAAATTTCCCCAATCGTATCGACAGGTATAGCGGTGGAGTGCCAAGTGGACCGTTCCCAAATCAAAAATCGCAAAATGGCGATGGCCCGATTGAACGCGCTCCTCTATCAAAGAAAACTTGAGGCTCAAACTGCTGAGAGCGACGCTGCGAGGAAAAGCCAAGTGAGAACTAGGAACTGGAATGAAAAAATTAGGACTTACAATTTCAGTCAGGACAGGATAACGGACCATCGTTTGGGGGTCAGTGTGCATAATTTGAAGGTGTTTTTGGAGGGTGGTGAGCCTTTGGAAGATTGATCCAGCAGTTGGATGAGAAATATTTAGTTGACAATTTGTTGAATATTGTGAATAGTCTTAGTGATGAGAATAAAAAATAATGAAATATTCATAACTACCCCATTTTCATATTTCAATTCCTGGTACCACTATTCCCACAAAGTCCACTATATCCACTATATCCACTATGCTCGATTAATTCCATCAAATACTCTTTCATGGGAAAATCGTGTCGAATCCGTCTCGAGAGCTGCTTCACAAAAACTAATTGAGGTACAAACGAGCAAAACATGATAATTCTAACATCATAAACGAGTCCTATGGAGAAACACCAAAATGAATTTTGCTATTCATCTCGAAAACCAAGTGTTGATACTCTTCCCTCGTAAGGGTACCTATCGTGTCTCTATGGAGACATAAAGGTGGTTATCGATAAATTGTCTATGATATATCGCCTTCGAAATATTCGAAATAAATTTGATATAATACGGAAAAGGAATGGGCAACTCATTGTCGGTCGCTGGTTTCTGATCTGGTTTCCTCTTCTATGCAATTTTTCCGTTGGGCTCAGATGGTCGAATTATAATGTAACACGTTTGCTCCTTTGATCTAAAACATATAATTGAAATCAAATCGAGAATTTGATATAAATTGGGATAAAGTTATGGAAGTTACATGGAATAAGAAACTGAAATATATACGAGAACTGTTTTCAAATGCCGTCGCTTCGGTGATCTAAAACATAGTTGGTATTAATATCTCGAATTCAAAATTTATCAATATTTAAAATCATGAAAGTTACATGGAATAAGAAAATGAAATATTGATGGAAAGTTTTCAAATTCCGTTGCTGAAACGCGACATATTCTTCTATTGCTCAAAAAATGAGCGGAACAGATAGCCAACAATTTTCACCTAAATGAGAAACACTGTATTTACCTCACCCATCAGGCACCTACCCCGGTTGCAACGAGGGTTTAACGAAGAAATATTCGAAATGAATTGAATAAAATTCGTAAATAGTAATGAAAAACTTATCACCGGTCGTTGGTTTCTGGTCTGGTTTCCTCTTTTGTGCTATTTTTCTGTCGATTAATAACACGTCGCTTCGTTGATCTAAAACATAGTTGGTATCAATATCTTGAATTCAAAATGTATTGAGAATTGAACTTTCCTCTTTTGTGCAATTTTTCCGTCGATTAATAACACTTCGCTTCGTTGATCTAAAACATAGTTGGTATTAATATCTCGAATTCAAAATTTATCAATATTTGAAATCATGAAAGTTACATGGAATAAGAAAATGAAATATTGATGAAAACTTTTTCGAATTCCGTTGCTGAAACGCGACATATTCTTCTATTGCTCAAAAAATGAGCGGAACAGATAGCCAACGATTTTCTCCTAAATGAGAAACACTGTATATACCTAACCCATCAGGCACCTACCCCGGTTGCAACGAGGGTTTACCGATGCCATGGGTTGATACTCTCCCCTCGTAAGGGTACCTGTCGTGTCACCATCGAGACTTAAAGGTGACTATCAAAAAATGTTCTATGATATATCGCCTTCCATAACAAATAATAAATTTGGAAGAAATATTCGAAATGAATTGAATAAAATTCGTAAATAGTAATGAAAAACTTATCACCGGTCGTTGGTTTCTGGTCTGGTTTCCTCTTTAGTGCAATTCTTTCGTCGATCAATAACACGTCGCTTCGTTGATCTAAAACAGAGTTGGTATCAATATCTCGAATTCAAAATATATTGAGATTTGAACTTTCCTCTTTTGTGCAATTTCTCCATCGATTGATAACACTTCGATTTATTGATCTGAAACATAGTTGGTATCAACAGCTCGAATTCAACATTTATCATTATTTGAAATCATGAAAGTTGCATGGAATAAGAAACTGAAATATATATGAAAACTTTTATCAATTCCGTTGCTGAAACGCGACATATTACTCAAAAAATGAACGGAACAGATGCTAACAATTTTCTCCTAAATGAGAAACACTGTATATACCTCACCCATTAGGTACCTACCCCGGTTGCAACGAGGGTTCACCGAAGAAATATTCGAAATGAATTGAATAAAATTCGTAAATAGTAATGAAAAACTTATCACTGGTCGTTGGTTTCTGGTCTGGTTTCCTCTTTTGTGCATTTTTTCGTCGATTAATAACACGTCGCTTCGTTGATCTAAAACATAGTTGGTATCAATATCTCGAATTCAAAATATATTGAGTTTTGAACTTTCCTCTTTTGTGCAATTTTTCCGTCGATTAATAACACTTCGCTTCGGTGATCTAAAACATAGTTGGTATCAATATCTCGAATTCAAAATTTATCAATATTTAAAATCATGAAAGTTACATGGAACAAGAAAATGAAATATTGATGAAAACTTTTTCGAATTCCGTTGCTGAAACGCGACATATTCTTCTATTGCTCAAAAAATGAGCGGACCAGATAGCCAACAATTTTCTCCTAAATGAGAAGCACTGTATATACCTAACCCATCAGGCGCCTACCCCGGTTGCAACGAGGGGTTTACCGATGCCAAGGGTTGATACTCTCCCCTCGTAAGGGTACCTGTCGTGTCTCCATTGAGACATAAAGGTGACTATCAAAAAATGTTCGATGATATATCGCCTTCCATAACAAATAATAAATTTGGAAGAAATATTCGAAATGAATTGAATAAAATTCGTAAAAAGTAATGAAAAACTTATCACCGGCCATTGGTTTCTGGTCTGGTTTCCTCTTTTGTGCTATTTTTCCGTCGATTGATAACACGTCGCTTCGTTGATCTGAAACATAGTTGGTATCAATATCTTGAATTCAAAATGTATTGAGTTTTGAACTTTCCTCTTTTGTGCAATTTTTCCGTCGATTAATAACACTTCGCTTCGGTGATCTAAAACATAGTTGGTATCAATATCTCGAATTCAAAATTTATCAATATTTAAAATCATGAAAGTTACATGGAACAAGAAAATGAAATATTGATGAAAACTTTTTCGAATTCCGTTGCTGAACGCGACATATTCTTCTATTGCTCAAAAAATGAGCGGAACAGATAGCCAACAATTTTCTCCTAAATGAGAAACACTGTATATACCTAACCCATCAGGCGCCTACCCCGGTTGCAACGAGGGTTTACCGATGCCAAGGGTTGATACTCTCCCCTCGTAAGGGTACCTGTCGTGTCACCATTGAGACTTAAAGGTGACTATCAAAAAATGATCTATGATATATCGCCTTCCATAACAAATAATAAATTTGGAAGAAATATTCGAAATGAATTGAATAAAATTCGTAAATAGTAATGAAAAACTTATCACCGGTCGTTGGTTTCTGGTCTGGTTCCTCTTTCGTGCTATTTCTCCGTCGATTGATAACACGTCGCTTCGTTGATCTGAAACATAGTCGGTATCAATATCTTGAATTCAAAATGTATTGAGTTTTGAACTTTCCTCTTTTGTGCAATTTTTCCGTCGATTAATAACACTTCGCTTCGGTGATCTAAAACATAGTTGGTATTAATATCTCGAACTCAAAATTTATCAATATTTAAAATCATGAAAGTTACATGGAATAAGAAAATGAAATATTGATGGAAAGTTTTCAAATTCCGTTGCTGAAACGCGACATATTCTTCTATTGCTCAAAAAATGAGCGGAACAGATAGCCAACAATTTTCTCCTAAATGAGAAACACTGTATATACCTAACCCATCAGGCGCCTACCCCGGTTGCAACGAGGGTTTACCGATGCCAAGGGTTGATACTCTCCCCTCGTAAGGGTACCTGTCGTGTCTCCATTGAGACATAAAGGTGACTATCAAAAAATGTTCGATGATATATCGCCTTCCATAACAAATAATAAATTTGGAAGAAATATTCGAAATGAATTGAATAAAATTCATAAATAGTAATGAAAAACTTATCACCGGTCGTTGGTTTCTGGTCTGGTTCCTCTTTTGTGCTATTTCTCCGTCGATTGATAACACGTCGCTTCGTTGATCTGAAACATAGTTGGTATCAATATCTTGAATTCAAAATGTATTGAGTTTTGAACTTTCCTCTTTTGTGCAATTTTTCCGTCGATTAATAACACTTCGCTTCGGTGATCTAAAACATAGTTTGTATTAATATCTCGAATTCAAAATTTATCAATATTTAAAATCATGAAAGTTACATGGAATAAGAAAATGAAATATTGATAAAAACTTTCTCGAATTCCGTTGCTGAAACGCGACATATTTTTCTAGTGCTCAAAAAATGAGCGGAACAGATAGCCAACAATTTTCTCCTAAATGAGAAACACTGTATATACCTAACCCATCAGGCGCCTACCCCGGTTGCAACGAGGGTTTACCGATGCCAAGGGTTGATACTCTCCCCTCGTAAGGGTACCTGTCGTGTCTCCATTGAGACATAAAGGTGACTATCAAAAAATGTTCGATGATATATCGCCTTCCATAACAAATAATAAATTTGGAAGAAATATTCGAAATGAATTGAATAAAATTCGTAAATAGTAATGAAATACTTATCACCGGTCGTTGGTTTCTGGTCTGGTTTCCTCTTTTGTGCAATTTTTCCGTCGATTAATATTACGTCGCTTCGTTGATCTAAAACATAGTTGGTATCAATATCTCGAATTCAAAATATTTTTATTGAGATTTGAACTTTCCTCTTTTGTGCAATTTTTCCGTCGATTAATAACACTTCGCTTCGTTGATCTAAAACATAGTTGGTATTAATATTTCGAATTCAAAATATATTGGGATTAGAAATAATGAAAGTTACATGGAATAAGAAACTGAAATATTGAAGAAAACTCTCTCAAATTCCGTTGCTGAAACGCGACATATTCTTTTATTACTCAAAAAATGAACGGAACAGATAGGCAACAATTTTTTCCTTAATGAGAAACACTGTATATACCTTACCTATCAGGAACCTACCCCTAAATATTAAATTTGAAGGAAACATTCGAAATGAATTGAATATAATTCGTGAATAAGAATGAAAAACTTATCACTGGTCGTTAGTTTCTGGTCTGGTTTCCTCTTTTGTGCAATTTCTCGATCGACTAATAACACGTCGCTT